GGGAGCTGAGGGCAGCACGGATAAAAGGCAGAATTGAGCTGCTCCAGCATTGCCACACAGAATTTCTGTGTCAGAGGCAACAAGAGGACTCAGTTATTGGGAGGGGAATGCAGAGGGGTATCACAAGACTGTCTGCTCCCTTTCCAGAGCCCTTCTCCTCTCAGACATCAGGGCAGGTCTTCAGCTCAGTGCATGTGGTGCCATTACTTAGGGCAGATGTGGTTTTGCAAGGCACACATAAAACGTGATGTTATTCTTCCAAATGGATCAATAAATTGGATCTATGGGGTACCAAGCTGCCCCTTCACCATCTCAAAATCTTTCCTAAAAGCTGAGGATGATTGTGGGATCTAAACCAACTTTTGTAGGTATTATTTCACAGAGAGTCTGAGCTGCCTTAATGAAATTAATTGGGAAAAGTCCCATTAGGTTCTGCTGGACTTGTGTATGAGTTTACTTGACAAACTCTGACACATTTATACATGAGAGGAAATCCAATCTGTTCCACAAAATTTGTCTTCATTAAGAAAAACCCACAGATTTTGAAAACCCATGATTTTGAAGTGTTTTTCCTTTTAAATCTGACCTACCAGCCTGTGAGTATTTCATATCCATAAATCAGTATTTCTTATCTAGAAATAGCATTATTTAGTTCAGATATCAATTTCTCCATATTTATTCCTGCCCATATTATTCCATTATACCTTCCTTGATTTTAATAATGCTTCAAAGCTCACAGACTTTAGCTATTTATTTTTGTCTTCTTATTTTCTGTAACTCCCGTCAGTTGGGATGTTCTGGTTGCTTCATTAAATACCTGTAGGGTGATATTTTGGTAGTTTTGTCTGGAAAGAGCGTGTCTAGAATGCAGCACAACAGGCCCTTCAGGTTACCTGAGCACAGGTAGTGTTTATGGTAAGGAGCAGCTCGTGATCCAGGATGTTTTTCATACCATGGCAATCTCCTCTGTTAGATTTTATGTTCTCCTAGCAGGGAATAACTGTCTGAGGAGCTGGAGAGCAGATCAGGCAGGAGATGAGGTGATGATGGGATGAGATTTGTGCCTATCAGCAGCACAGTGACCAGGGCTGGCTGTGCCAGGTGAGCTCAGGGGTTCCCTGCACATGGCCCTGAGCAGCTCCACAGGAATTCAGCAGGGTGAAGGCCCTCAGCAAGCTCCATATCTCAGAATTAAATGTTATCTCAGCAGCATTATCTCTTTCACTCCTGCTCTTTTGGAGGATTTCATGTCCAAGCTCCTCAATCTGACTTCCCAAATAACGTCTCTGCTGCTGTTCTGCACAGCCTCTTGCTGGCTGAGAAGGGTTTTGCACTTGAGAATCTTCTAAATCAGAGAAATATTTACAGATCTATTACCTGGATGTCACCCAGGCAGCTGTGAGTTATAAAAGCGTTCTCCAGTCTGTTCATTGGACTTGTCCATTGGATTTTTTAATCTTGGTTTTTGGTTTTTGGGTGTTTTAAAACTATGAGAAGACTACAATTAGTTGATTTTCTCTTTTCCAGAGGGAAATGTTGTCATTCCTCTTTCCTGGGGAGGAAAAAAGACAAAGTACACAGCAAAAATCAAGTAAAGCTACATGCAAAATAGAAGCATTTGTAAAATAACTATTAAACATAGGAACAGTCTTCACATTTGGGTTTTCAATAATGCAAGAATAAAAATAGCACAGAAGATATTTCCTTCATTTGAGTATCTCTAATATAAATTCATCTGAAAATAAAAATTCATTGTTTCTCTTGTCATAGAAAATTTTGTTAAATTGAACAAGATACCCATAATTTGTTTAAATTATATGGATCTTTAGAAGATTGGATCTTTAAAACTGTAACAAGATGCTTTGTGTTTTATACCCAAAACCTGAGCAAACCTGGAAGTTCTCATCATTCAGAACTGCTTGTGAACAATATTACTGTGGGATCTTGAGAGTCAGGGGATGTTAACCTCTGCAAGGGGTGGAGTTTATGGGCTTTTGACTGAAGATTTGTAAATGGCTGCTGGCTCCAGATTTTATTACCTTGCAGCAGAAAGAGGAGTAGGATAAATCAGAATTACTCAGTGACCTGCAGTGGCTGATAGGTGCAGCCACAATTCCCTGGTTCTCTCTTCAGGGTGATCTTGGCATTTGTGTTTCCTCTGCTCTCAGCATACAGAGCATGTGTGTGATTTGGACAGACACAGAGATAAAAACAACTGGCAGGGGAAGAACATGAAACCAAATCCCTTCTATGCAGTGATGCTTAAACAACAGGTTACTTTAATTATTTAATTTTATTTTGTCCATTCTAAAACATCACAAAAATCTAACCCATCACACTTCTAGGCTGGAGATACTTTTACCACAAAACCACTCTGGCATTTTTTGGTCGACTTTGCTGAAATGATTTGGCTGTGCTGACTGGGGAATGAGATTTCTGATAAGGAATTACTATAAGCTCTTAGATTTTGCAGCTTGTGAGTGCCAAGCCAGCCCTCTGGACTCACCTGCTTATCTGAGTTTGTCTAAGCTGTGAGATATCTGTAGCCAGGGAAATCCCTGCACTCTCTGGGTGGGAATGATGCAGGAGTGTCACAGAATTACTCATGTTACACATCATGGCCTTCTCCAGAGCATCCCAGCCACGGGCTGAGTGAAGTGAAACCCAGCTCAGCTCTAAACTGCTGTTCAGCCCACAGGGGTTTGAAACTGGAGCTTTTTCACTTGAAAACACAAAGTGCTGAGGTCTCCAGGTTGTCAGGATGTTTTTCAGAGCTTTGATGGAGAGTGCAGTCAAACTGTTCTCTTTGCAGTGGGATCAGGGGCAGGTGATGGAGGCCACTTCTCCTCATGGAGTGGCCCCAGCTCGTCCTTGCCTTTCAGCAGGTGCTGAAGCTCTCCAGGAGCTGCCTCAGAGCAGGGAGGTGGCTGTGCAGGGGCAGCTGTGCCTGTGGGTCCTCCTGCCTCGTGAGGATTTGGTTTCCTGCAGTTATTCCTTGGCCACACAGCAACCTGGGAGTTCCTGGGATGAACCTGGGCTGTGCCTGTAGCATCCTCCACCCACGAGGCAGAGCAATAACCCTTGATGTCTCTTGTCTAAAGGAATACAAACCAATTTAAAATGTCTCTTGGTTTCTGTATTTTTTAAAGATGAGTCTGGCCATTGCAAGAAATGGACTCTTAAGAAGGAGTCTGTCCTGTTTTATTGTTTTGTTGGGAAATGTGTTTTAGGAAGACATTTCCCAGTGCTCATGGCCAGGGATTTCACTTTGTGCTGACAGAAAATGTCATCAAATCAGAGAATCTCCTGAGCTGAAGGGACCCCCAAGGATCATCCAGTGCAGCTCCTGGTCCTGCCCAGCCACCCCAACACTCTGGGCAGCCTTGGGAGCTCCTGGAGCTCTGGCAGCCTTGGGAATGTCACCATTCCCTGGGCAGAGCTCATGGTTTGAGCCCTGCACTTGAAACTTGACATTTGGGAGATAACACACAACACCAAGGTACCCTGCCAAGCTGCCATGGATCTTCCCCAGGGATTTGTGGCACTTTGACATCCAGTTGTTTCCCTCCTTTCATTAAGGAGAGCATCCCTGACATCCCATCCAGTGGGACAGGGCATGGCTGGGTGCAGCAGCACCTCTGTGTGCCCACTGCAGTGAGAATCTCCCTTCTCACATTTAAGAATTTAGAAGCTCCCTTGTCAAGGTCAAGGCAGAACAACTGCAGGGTTGTGCTGGGAGCCCTGAAAGTGGGAGGAGTGCTGGTGCCATTCCTGAGGGAAGGCAAAGTGCCGCCATTTCTGGGCACTGGCATTCAGCAGAGCTGGTGGGGAGGGCAGGCACGGCTCCATCACCTGTCAAGAACAGGAGAGCTCCAAACTCTGGAGCACCCCTGCTCCAATATCTTTATTTTGCAACAGCACTTCTGGCTGTGGGACAGAGTAGTTTTGATTCAAAGCAGATCAAATCAGAGTTTCTGTTATCTAGAGGTTAAAGGCCACTCACTTGATTGGGTTTAAAGTCCAAATTAAACAGCCAAAGTGACCAAGCTATTTTAGTTCTGAAACATCTCTTCTATTTTTAGGGTAGAATGTTCTTTTTATAAATAGTGGAAAATTAAACACAGACACTGGTTATAAAATAGCCTTTGCACTTGCTGTAACTCACAGACTTCTTCATGGTTGAAATCTGTCTAAATCAAGGATTTTGGTTCACTTGCTGGAACTTACAAACTTTTTCATAGTTGAAATATATCTAAATCAAGGATTTCAGTTCACTTGGTTCACTTGCTGGAACTTACAAACTTTTTTATAGTTGAAATATATCTAAATCAAGGATTTCAGTTCACTTGCTGGAACTTACAAACTTTTTTATAGTTGAAATATATCTAAATCGAGGATTTCAGTTCACTTGCTGGAACTTACAAACTTTTTTATAGCTGAAATATATCTAAATAAAGGATTTTGGTTCAGCTATTTGTCAAAAGAGGACTTGGAAAAATATTTCATATCTCAATCTAAATTCACTCAACTTGCAGGAGATTTTTGCAAATAGAAGTTTCTTATTTGTTTTCTGCTTTCAAAGTTTGCATAAATATATATGGAATTTGAAAAGCCATAACTTACATTTCCTCGATCCTTGGGTTCAAGACTGGGATTAAACTTTTTGGCAAACTCAAATGAGCACAGTTTTCAAATATTTCTCATGATTTGGAGGAAAACCACCACTATTTTATGCCAGCTACTTTGGGGTTTTTTTCTTAATATAAAAACCCTTGAGATTTTCAGGCACTTGGGAAGAATGGTGATGAGAATTTGCAAAAATGAGAATTATTTGTGGAAGACTTCTAATTTTGTTGACATGAATGCTATGGAGAGATGTAGTTAAAGTTTTAATTTTGAGCCTGTGATCGTGAGACACTTGGAGATCAGCTTGGGGCTGAACAGACTGGAGATAAACATCCTAAAATGTCCTTTTCTTGTTGGTGTTTGCAGGGATTACAATGGTTGACACAGAAATGCCGTTTTGGCCCCTGAATTTTGGAATCAGCCCCATGGATCTGTCAGCCATGGATGATCACACACATTCCTTTGACATCAAGCCCTTCACCACCGTCGACTTCTCCAGCATTTCCTCCCCTCACTATGAAGATCTCCCCCTTGCCAGAGCTGACCAGTCAGGCCTGGATTATAAATATGATATCAAGCTCCAGGATTGCCAAAGTAAGCTCTGCCTTGTTTTGAAGTGTTTCCCTCGTGTCAGTGTTTCCTTCATTCCCTGGAACGTGTGCTAGCAGCAGAGGGATTTAGAACTCAGATCTCCTGTGTCAGCAGAGATGCTCTTGAGGGCAGATGGAAAAGGGAAAATGCTCCAGCAGACCTTCAAGAAAAGGGAAAATGCTCCAGCAGACCTTCACCCTGCCAGAGCAGCAGCTGGGGCTTAGGGGAGGTACCATAAAGTGTCCAAAATGACATTTTAGTAGGCACATGAACCCTCTGTTGTCTCCTACTCCTGCACCTCGTGTGAGCTTTTCCTTTGAACTCAGTGCACACAGTGCAGAACAAACTCCCTGAATGTTGAAGAATGCCCAGCATGCAGAGCAAAATCTGAATTATTAATATGTGCAGCTTTTCAATTCCAAACAGCCTCAGAAAGGGATGGAGTAGAAATTTTGGCTAGACCTGAGGCACAGCATTGTTCCAGCTCCATCACAGCTCCTGGATTATTTTTTTTTATTACCTGCTGTGAAACATGCTGGTCTTCCACAATATCCACTGAAAAATTACACCTAACTTCCTTTTAAGAAAGGAAGTGACCTATTCCTAAATAAATTGTCACTGCATTCCTGCTCAGAGTAGGATTGTGCTGTGCCTGGAACTCTTTTGAGGATGCACTTCTGCTTAGATGTGACCTCATTTTTTTTTTGTAGTCATCTGTACAAGAACTCTTTGAGGGAATTCTTGCTGGGGAAATTGTGGTGTTTAATTTGGGTGGTACAATGAAGCAGGAGCTGTGTCTCTGCACTACTGCTGTAATAAATGAATGGACATTTTTCCACCAGTCATTTATTTTTCTTTTGTTTAACTAGAAATATTCTTTACACTTTAATGCCAAGTACTTTTAAGAAGTGCAGGAGAGTTTAGATGGCATAAATTCTCCTCATCTTTACTTAGATAATTTCTTCCCAGTTTATATAGGAATAAATCTTTCTAGTTTGTATAGTATAGCCAATCAGGAAAAATAAAAATATTTGCCTTCTTTAATACTCTGTTACATCATCCCTGATGTAATGTAACTTTCAGATGTCACAGCTCTCTTCTATAACCAGTGATGATTGATTTAAAGACATCATACTTACTTGTTTGAGACCATTCTATATTAAAAATTGCTCTCTTAATTAGAAACTTTCAGAAGAGAAAATTCATCTCTAAACTGCACCCAAAGTTGAACAGTTTTCCCCAGGAGAGAGCTAAATTTCTGGAAATATCTGATATCATTTTATTTTATTACATATATATATATATATATATATGAATGATATATTATTGGATATTTATTGAATAATATAATAATATACTATATAGTATATGTACTATATAGTGTTATATTATAATAGTATTATATAATATATAGTATTATCTTATAATAAAATATTATATATATTATATAATAATATATAGTATATGTTATATAATAATATTATATAATATGCATTATATTATTATATATAGTATAATATACTATATATAATATTATACTATATATTATATAATGTTATATAATATTATTATATACAATAATATATTATTATTGAATAATGTATTGTTGAATATACAGCTCTATTAGACACTTGAATATGTTTTAAACTAGATTTGACACTCCAGCCCATCTCCCTGTAGGAGTTTCCAACACCTTGAAGGAATAAACCAGGTGGAGACTGAGTAAAGCCTGAGTTCTCCATACATTAATTTTTAGTATCCATCTTGAACCCTTGCACAGTCCAGAGCTGAGAGCTGGATCTGTAACACCTTTGTCCAGCAGCACCTGCCCCTTCCAGCTTCTGCAGCCACTGCAATGCAGCTGCAGCTCCTTCTGCAGCCCTGGTCTGCTGTGGCTTTGCTGTGGGGCAGACCTGGCCATCCCAGCCCAGCATCCCTGGCATGCCTTGTGCTTATTCCTCACTGCTGCTGCTGCCTCAGGTTTTGGCTTTTGTATTTTTCACATTCTGTGCTGCTTTAGTGTGTGGGTCTGGGCTTCATATGAGGGGATGCTGAGCTCTGTGCACAGAGCAGGGAGACAAAACAATTCCTGCTCCAGCTGGGCACCAAGGACAAATGATCCAAATCTCAGCCACAAAAGCATAAAAAATGTGGGCTGGAGAGAGAAAAACAAGCAGGGTGGGACTGCAGGGGCTAAAGCTGGAATTGGGCAATTAACTGCAAGATGCAAATGGAGCAGAACTGATCAAAGTGAGAGACCCCGTGCCTGGTTGTGCATTTTGGGGCCATTTTGGTTCATCTTGGGTGCAAAGGTGCATCCATGGAGGAGATGCTTTGAATAAATCCCTGCTTTATCCTGTAGCTCTGCCCAGCCTCTGTTGTAGATCAGCCTTCCCAAGCCATCCCCTCCCCATGAATTCAGCTGGAGTTTACCACTCACCTCTCCCCTGTGCACAGGTGCCATCAAGCTGGAGCCTCCTTCCCCCCCCTATTTCTCAGAGAAGGTGCAGCTGTACAGCAAAGCTCACGAGGAGGCGTCCAACTCGCTGATGGCCATCGAGTGCCGCGTGTGCGGCGACAAAGCCTCGGGCTTCCACTACGGCGTGCACGCCTGCGAGGGCTGCAAGGTGAGCTCCAAAAGCACTTGGATTAACATCTGCTACTGTGTTCATCTCAAGAATCACTTGGGACAATCACACCTTTGTGCTTTTAAAAAAAAAAAAAAAGTTTTAGGTCTTTGCGTCAATTTTTCTGCATATAATTTATGGGTTAATAAGCAGATGTTTCTTTAAACCTTGCTTTTTTTTTAAAACCTTGCTTTTTTCAAAACCTTGTTTTTTAAAACCTTGCTTGTTTTTTAAAAGCTTGGGGTTTTTTCTTGTTGATTGTATTGATCTATTCAAATTTTTTCATGTGTTTTTTCCCCTTCTTTCAATCATGCAAGTGTATTTCATTCCCTTCTTTGGGTGTCATGTGCACAAAGTCTGAATTCTTAGAATGCACCAAATTCATGCCCAACTCCAAAACTTTGAGCAATTAAAATTCAGGCTCTGTTATTCTGATTAATTCGAGGTTTTTACCCATTTTACACATTTTAGGTGACTACAGAGAAGTCTGATGGTATTGAGGAATGTGCTTGCTGCTTTAAAACCCCACTGATTTTTTATGTCAGTGATATTTAGTGTTTATAATATGTAAAGGACAAATGAATGGTGTAAAAATTGCAGTCCTCAAGAATGAGGGAAGAAATGTCAGAGAATTAAATTATTAATATTTCATTGAATTCAAAGAAAAACATTAGAGTTTAATGTGAAATTCCTATCTTCTCCATTTTCAGTATCTTGAGGAAAATAACTAAAAGGAAAGAACCAATCCAGAGCTTAAATAAAATTCTTAGCAGTGAATTAGGAGCACACATAAAGCAATAAGTACGAAGTACATTACTTAAATTACAGTTAATTATATAAATAAAAGTTGGCATCATGCTTGTACTGTTATTATTCCCTGTGAGGAAAAAATAATTTTTACAAGGAAAAAAGGGAGATAACTCTGGATAAACTGTATTAATTAATTATGACTGATCCAAAAAAACATATTTAAACTGTAGAAAGAGAAATAAGAAGCATTTTAATTTACCAGAAATTGACCTGCTGTTGGCAGAATTTTTGGTTTGTCATTGTTTTCAACGAATTTTTTACACTGGTAGTGAACTTTATATTTTGAAAATGTCCCATTTGGTTTGTAATCATTTTCCCACAAGCAGTGGGACAAACAGAGCTTTGCTTCCTTTGGAGCCATGCCCTTAAATGCCATCCCTAATGTCCTTTAAACCCCACTGATTCCCTAAAGCTTCTCCAGCTTTTTGGGAATTTTATCCTTCTATTGCATGGGGTTGGAAACACTAGATCAGAGGATGAACAGGAGCAGAGAGGATGGTGACAGGAGCTGTGCCTCCTTTGGAAATCCATCTCTCACGTGTCCTGGGTGGGTGGAGCAGGGCCAGGATGCCCTGGCAGCTCCCTGCTTCCATCCCTTTCCCTGTTTCCCTGGTTCCATCCTTTTCCCTGTTTTCCTGGTTCCATCCCTTTCCCTGGTTCCATCCCTTTCCCTGTTTCCCTGGTTTCATCCCTTTCCCTGGTTCCATCATTTTCCCTGTTTTCCTGGTTCCATCCCTTTCCCTGTTACCCTGGTCCCATCCTTTTCTCTGGTCCCATCCTTTTCCCTGTTTCCTGGTTCCATCATTTTCCCTGTTTTCCTGGTTCCATCCCTTTCCTTGTTTCCCTGGTCCCATCCTTTTCCTTGTTTCCCTGATCCCATCCCTTTCCCTTTTTCCTGGCCCCATCCTTTTCCCTGTTTCCCTGTCCCTGCAGGGTTTTTCCCTGTTCCCTGTTCCATCCATTTCCCTGTTTCCTGTCCCTGCAGGGCTTTTCCCTGTTCCCTGTCCCATCCTTTTCCCTGTTCCCTGTCCCTGCAGGGTTTTTTCCCTGTTTCCTGGTGCCATTCTTTTCCCTGTTTCCCTGTTCCATCCTTTTCCCTGTTCCCTGTTCCATCCTTTTCCCTGTTCCCTGTCCCATCCTTTTCCTTGTTTCCCTGTCCCTGCAGGGTTTTTCCCTGTTTCCTGTCCCATCCTTTTCCCTTTCCCTGTCCCTGCAGGGTTTTTCCCTGTTTCCTGTCCCATCCTTTTCCCTGTTCCCTGTCCCATCCTTTTCCCTGTTCCCTGTCCCTGCAGGGTTTTTCCCTGTTCCCTGTCCCATCCTTTTCCCTGTTCCCTGTCCCTGCAGGGTTGTTCCCTGTTCCCTGTCCCTGCAGGGTTTTTCCCTGTTCCCTGTCCCATCCTTTTCCCTTTCCCTGTCCCTGCAGGGTTTTTCCCTGTTCCCTGTCCCATCCCTTTCCTTGTTTCCCTGTCCCTGCAGGGTTTTTTCCCTGTTCCCTGTTCCATCCCTTTCCATGTTTCCCTGTCCCTGCAGGGTTTTTCCCTGTTCCCTGTCCCATCCTTTTCCCTGTTCCTGTCCCTGCAGGGTTTTTCCCTGTTCCCTGTCCCATCCTTTCCTTGTTTCCCTGTCCCTGCAGGGTTTTTTCCCTGTTCCCTGTCCCATCCTTTTCCCTGTTCCCTGTCCCTGCAGGGTTTTTCCCTGTTCCCTGTCCCATCCTTTTCCCTGTTTTCCTGTCCCTGCAGGGTTTTTCCCTGTTCCCTGTTCCATCCTTTCCTTGTTTCCCTCTCCCTGCAGGGTTTTTCCCTGTTCCCTGTCCCATCCTTTTCCCTGTTTTCCTGTCCCTGCAGGGTTTTTCCCTGTTCCCTGTTCCATCCTTTCCTTGTTTCCCTGTCCCTGCAGGGTTTTTTCCCTGTTCCCTGTCCCATCCTTTTCCCTGTTCCTGTCCCTGCAGGGTTTTTCCCTGTTCCCTGTTCCATCCTTTCCTTGTTTCCCTCCCCCTGCAGGGTTTTTCCCTGTTTCCTGGTCCATCCTTTTCCCTGTTCCTGTCCCTGCAGGGTTTTTCCCTGTTCCCTGTCCCATCCTTTCCTTGTTTCCCTCTCCCTGCAGGGTTTTTCCCTGTTTCCTGGTCCATCCTTTTCCCTGTTCCTGTCCCTGCAGGGTTTTTTCCCTGTTCCCTGTCCCATCCTTTCCTTGTTTCCCTGTCCCTGCAGGGTTTTTCCCTGTTCCCTGTCCCATCCTTTCCTTGTTTCCCTGTCCCTGCAGTGTTTTTCCCTGTTCCCTGTCCCATCCTTTTCCCTCTTCCCTGTCCCTGCAGGGTTTTTCCCTGTTCCCTGTCCCATCCCTTTCCTTGTTTCCCTGTCCCTGCAGGGTTTTTTCCCTGTTTCCCTGTCCCTGCAGGGTTTTTCCCTGTTCCTTGTCCCATCCTTTCCTTGTTTCCCTGTCCCTGCAGGGTTTTTTCCCTGTTCCCTGTCCCATCCTTTCCTTGTTTCCCTCTCCCTGCAGGGTTTTTCCCTGTTCCCTGTCCCATCCTTTTCCCTGTTCCTGTCCCTGCAGGGTTTTTCCCTGTTCCCTGTCCCATCCTTTTCCCTGTTCCTGTCCCTGCAGGGTTTTTCCCTTTCCCTGTCCCTGCAGGGTTTTTCCCTGTTCCCTGTCCCATCCCTTTCCCTCTTCCTCTCCCTGCAGGGTTGTTCCCTGTTCCCTGTTCCATCCCTTTCCTTGTTTCCCTTTCCCTGCAGGGTTTTTCCCTGTTCCCTGTCCCATCCTTTTCCCTTTCCCTGTCCCTGCAGGGTTTTTCCCTGTTCCCTGTCCCATCCTTTCCTTGTTTCCCTGTCCCTGCAGGGTTTTTCCCTGTTTCCCTGTCCCTGGAGGGTTTTTTCCCTGTTCCCTGTCCCATCCTTTCCTTGTTTCCCTGTCCCTGCAGGGTTGTTCCCTGTTCCCTGTCCCATCCTTTCCTTGTTTCCCTGTCCCTGCAGGGTTTTTCCCTGTTCCCTTTCCCATCCCTTTCCTTGTTTCCCTGTCCCTGCAGGGTTTTTCCCTGTTCCCTGTCCCATCCTTTCCTTGTTTCCCTCTCCCTGCAGGGTTTTTCCCTGTTCCCTGTCCCATCCTTTTCCCTTTCCCTGTCCCTGCAGGGTTTTTCCCTGTTCCCTGTCCCATCCTTTCCTTGTTTCCCTGTCCCTGCAGGGTTTTTCCCTGTTCCCTGTCCCTGCAGGGTTTTTCCCTGTTCCCTGTCCCATCCTTTCCTTGTTTCCCTGTCCCTGCAGGGTTTTTTCCGGAGGACCATCCGGTTGAAGCTGATTTACGACCGCTGTGACCTGAACTGCCGCATCCACAAGAAGAGCAGGAACAAATGTCAGTACTGCAGGTTCCAGAAGTGCCTGGCCGTTGGGATGTCACACAATGGTGAGTGCTGGGGACTCTGAGCCAGCAGTGCTTCATCTGGCAAAGAGCATGGGGCATCAGCACAGCTCCTGAGAGTGCTGCTGGAATGCCCACATCTTCAGTTTAGAGAGAGATTGCCCTGGTTTGGGAGCCTCTCCATGATTTCAAATTGCTTTCACATCAAAATCAGACAGGTGGAGATTTGCTTTTCTTGCTTTAATACATAGTATAACATGAGTTGGTTTTACTCTCCATCATTCCTGCTCATTAGGAGTTCCTCCTGAATATATCCTTTGTGTAATTGCTATTTTTCACTTCACTGTTTCATTTTCTGACCAGACCCTTTTTCCTCCTGGAGCTCAAGATGCCTTTCCTGGAAGCCAAAGACTTTATTAGGAAATATGGATTAGAGAATCTGAAGCTTTGTGAATAACAGCAACTTGAATTTGCTGCACAGGTCATTTACCAAGGGCTGTTGGCATCACTGAATTAGCACTAAAACACAACAAATTGAAATGAAAATATTCATTTTCATGAACTGTACAGTTTTAAAAATCCCCATCCTCCTCCTTTCTAGGGCACCCCTATCTGTGGTTGCCTCCTTTACCTTAAGTAATGGCAGGAAGAATATCACAATCCTGCTCAAGGAGAAAATCCCTCTGAACTTTAAAATTACCAGAGCAATTCATGTGGAAATACTTATGAATGTTTGGGCAGAAGGACATAATGAAGATTCTTTGTTGCCTTGCTTTGGCAAAGCTGAGTAAAAACAGGAATTAAATGTCATAACATAGAGACTTATGTAATTCTAAGGGTAAAGAATTGCAAACATGACTGGGAAAATAATTTCACTGTGGTTTTTTTAGGACTTTCATTATTTTCAATATAAAAAATGAGTGTGCTGTCCCCAAGAGGAAATCTGGATTGTGGTTTGCAAAGTTAATACATGCACTGAATGTAAATTGGTCTGGGAAATGTTTTGTTAATAGAAAATATGGTTTTCAAATTCCTGGGATGCAACAGTAACACTTAAAAATAAATCTAATTTTGAAATGCTACTGTGGGTATTTTTATAGTAATTTTATAGTAATTTAGGAGGGTTTTATTATTATTATTTTCAGGGTGCATGCCAAATTCTCCCCTGGCCTGGCAGCACAGCTCCCAGTGGTGTCCGTGGGATCCATGGGCAGCTCCGTCAGCAAGGGATGGCCCAGACCATTCTCTGCCTTACAGCATCTAGAACAGCTTTAAAATTCACATTTCAGCTGCATTTTTCCCTCTTTAGCCACTGCCCAGGCAGAAGCTGTGGCAACCAAAGCTTCTAGGATTTGGGGAGGCAGGAAAAGGGCAAAGCCATTTGCCCCAGGGCTCCAAGGAAGGTTTTCCTTTGCTCCAACCAGGAGTTCTCCCTACAAGGACTCAGTGTTATTTATTCAAACATTGCTTTCTACACTTGCCTTTTTCATTTTGCCTGCTCTGGGTGCGTTGCCTTGCACAAAACGCCCTCGTTCCTTCCTAATTTACAAACTAATTTATCCAAAAAAGCTGAATTTCACCTTTGAGGACCGAGAAGCATAAAGAAATGCAACACTGGATGTGTTCCTACCCAGGTTCCTACCCTCAGCCAACAGAACTTTAATATCTTAAATATTCTTTTAATATCTTAAATATTCTTTAGATTTTATGTAGACTGGAGTTGGAACCAGGAGATTTCACCAATGACACTGAGACACATTTTAATGCTGCATCTCCAGATTGGGTAGGGAAATTACCAGAATTTTAAATGCTTTGAGGCAGAATGTGGGTTATTTGTGCCTGAGGGTTCCAGTCTTGTGTGGATGTATTATTGCAAAATGATCAGGACAAAAGGGGGACTGCAAGGAGACACTCAGCAGCTACAGCCACATTTTTTCACGTAGAAATGCTCCATACCACTTGGCTAAAGGTTAAAGAAGACAGTGGTGTTCTCATGCTTGGAATATTGTTTTCCTTTCCTTCTCTAGCCACAGTGCAGCTCTGGCCTTAACCCTGAGTGGTGCAGGCTGGGTTCTCAAGTGCCACTGAGCAGCTGCTTGGTTCTTTTTGTGTTGAAATGTCATTTATTTTGTTCTCTTCTGCTAAAAGTGCTGCTGGTAGTAGCTCAGCTACTGGAATGGGAAAAAAACACGTGGCAATGTCTTTGTCATCAGTTCTGGGAGCAGGGGATTGCTCAATCTGGGCACATCTCCACCACCAAAATCAGACAGGTACCCAGCCTGGCTTTACCTTGTGTTTCTAATGGAACAAACTGCATTTATGGGCTAGCTGGGGTCTCCTTTATGCCCAGAAATAATCCAGACAATCAGAAGAGCAGTGCCCTGCAGAAGAGTCATAAACAACCATCATTTTTTACATTTAACTTCTCCAAGAGGTAAAATCTGGGCTGAGGATGAATATTGTAGTTCTTCCACAGAAAGGACAGAATGCAGCACAAGGGACTGACCGTGTTCACTCTTGGCTTTCTGCTCCTGACATTTGGGCAATGCTGGAATTCAAGAAAAGGAGGAACTGCCCAAGGAAAGAGAGAAATCCACGCTCCAGCTGCAGGCTCCTGCCCAGACCTGCAGAGTCTGGGATTGCTGGGAGAGAAGCTGGGAGAGAACCCCCCCAGCCAGATTTCCAGAGCTCTCCCAGGCTTTTCCCAGCCCTGCTGATCCCTCCCCAGGCTCTCCTTTCCCAGCCTGACCTTTGGCAGTGGCATCAGCATCAGCTCCTCCTTCTCCTCCCATCTAAAATCCTCCTTTCTCAATTCCTCCCATCAACCTCTCGCTGCCTGAGCTCTCCCTGGTTTTGTCTCAGCCCCCTGAAAATGACAGTGACAAGGATTTTTACAAAAGGAAACTGCTAGGCTGCTCCCACAAAATTGATTTTGCCCCAGATTTTGCCTGCTATGCTAACATTGAACAGAATCTGCTGCATCTGATATCTCACCAATAAAATATATACCAAAGACATTTAGGATAAATTATTCCATGGAAAAATAAATCCTATGTCTATGAAATTGTAAGATAGGAGCTCTTGATTCACAACCCTCCTTGTTGCTAACATATTTAAAATATACTTTATAATGAAATGTTGTATTTAAAATGCATTTGAGTCCTGATCACCTTTTTTTTTGATGGAATGGCCAGTGGGATTCCAGATTATGAATCTGCTTTTGCAAACCTCAGCTCTCAGGAGCAGGCCCACAACAGAATCGTTTCCTGCTGGGTGTTCAGTATAATTTAATATCAAGGACACCCAAGTAATTCTGAAATATCCAGCACATCTCACTCCCAGACTGAGGTTGCTGAAAGAGGAATTCAGTCATAAAAAGAATCATTTTTTCTACAGACATGAAATAAAACAGCTGATCAATAAATATAATATTGGAAAAATGGAGAGGGGAGATGTGTTCTGGCATAATTATTTATTCTTGGAGAAAAATGTCTTGTTTGCCCATCAACACATTGCAGCAAACTCACAGAAAAGTGGCTGCTTGTTTCCAAAATAAACATCCCCAGTAAAATCATCTCTATATGATCTTAGCAGCACTTTTCCTTTATCCAAGGAACACACTAATCACTGCAAAAATATTCATAATATTTCTATTTCCCCCTAGGGCCAAAATGCAAACTTTGATTTCTTCCTTCCGTTTCTTGTTTGGATGCTCTTTTGTTCTGTTTTGTTTTCATAAAACAAAATAAATTCTGTTTACTGAAATATCATGTGATAAATCAGTCTTGATTTTGATGGCTCATTTGAAACATTCTCCAGTCAGTCCCCACATGGATAAATAGTCTTGCTTAGGAAGTACAGGATGGAAAAGTAGGAGGTGCAGAGGAGATCTGAGCAATTTTGAGCTCATCTGATGAGGTAGAACCATTTCCTGGGTTTTCAATACTGCAGATACACAGAGGTGCCACGAACAACTCAGCCTTTTCCAGCTTTTTATTCCCTGCCCAACCTCCTTCCCCATTCCTTCATTCTGCTGTTGACAATTTATAGCACTTGCTACGTTAAATTCTGCTGAACTGTTTAGGAATTCCTTCCTGCAAGGCATGTGAGGGTTTTGTTTCTAAACAAATGAAGAACCTCAGATCCATGTGGTGATTTGCCCAGAACAATACAAGGCTCAATGGTGGTTCCCATCCCGAGCCAACAGAACTTTAATATCTTAAATATTCTTTGCATTTTATGTAGATTGGAGGTAGAACCAGGGGGTTTGCATTTCTAAGCAAGGTATGATAATGGGCCCAGAGATGATTTGTTTGTTTACATTTCTTTAAAGCTCTCCAGCTGTTTTGACTAAATGCAGAAAATTCTCTTTCCTTGCTTGCCTAACCCCGTCTAGCACAAACTTCAGCCCCGAAAGGCAACAAGAACTCAAATGTGCTCCTTGAGGTGCAAGTGCAGGTGCAGGAAGGTGGCAGGGAAGCCCTGAAGTGTGGGTTTTTGTAACTCTTGTGGTGCAGGAAGGTGGCAGGGAAGCCCTGAAGTGTGGGTTTTTGTAACTCTTGTGGTGCAGGAAGGTGGCAGGGAAGCCCTGAAGTGTGGGTTTTTGTAACTCTTGTGGTGCTCTCAGCCATCAGGTTCGGGCGGATGCCCCAGGCGGAGAAGGAGAAGCTGCTGGCCGAGATCTCCAGCGACATCGAGCAGCTGAACCCCGAGTCGGCCGACCTGCGCGCGCTGGCCAAGCACCTCTACGACTCCTACATCAAGTCCTTCCCTCTGACCAAAGCCAAGGCGAGGGCCATCCTGACAGGAAAGACGACAGACAAATCAGTCAGTTCCCTCTTCTTTCTGTTGCTTCCTTTTTTTCCGAGTAAATGATTCGCCGAGCTGACAACGCAGCTCTTAAAAAAAGCCAAAATACAAAACACCGAGCCTAAAAAAAAAAAACCACCAAAAAACCCCACGTTGCTGTTGGCAGTTACACATTTCAAGCTGTCTCTGAAACACAGGAAATGTTTTTAGATAGGATAAGTAAACATTATTTGAAAAAACTCCAAGTTCACCTAATAAAATACTTGAAACCAGGACAAGAATTTGAAGGTCACCTTAACCTTTTTGTATTCCCTGATCCTCTCTTCCCGTTTTCCCTCTCCTTGCCCAGAGGTTATCTCCCACACTATCTGTTGAAGGTGGCTCTCCAGCTGTCAGGAATTGCTGCTCCCTGAGGAATATCCCTTTTCCTAAGTGGCAAATGATTCCAGCCCCAGCACATTCTTATGTGATGCTCGTTCTTATGAAGCTCTGATGAATTCCTGCTTTTCTCTGGGTTATCTCAGGTCACATCAGTGCCCTGTGTTGGTGCAGTTGGAATTGTAGGAGAATGGACAGGAAAATCTTGGAAAAGCAAGGAATAGTGAGAAGTGGGTTTGTGGGTTGCCTTGGAAACTTCCTTTGCCATCCATTATAATCTTCTGTATCAGTGAGAGGAGCATAAATAATATCTGATCATGTTGGTAACAGTATTTTAATACCTAAAGAACAAAATAGTTTTCCACAACTTATAACTCTTAGCTTGATGTGTTTTCTAGAATCATTGGCAGAAATTTTATTGTCAGGAGTACAACAGAGAGTGTATTTTATTTTCCTTAATAATTTCAAAGACTGCAAAGAACTCAGAGGTACCTCAGGCTCCAAAAAGGTATTTCTTCCTTTCCTTAAAGGCAATTAAAATAATTTTAATGTTGTCCAGAAATTGGTTGGACCCTCACATAAAAGATGTGGTGGGCACTAACAATGTGAGTAACTTTTCAGCATCAAGTTTGAATTAGCTAAGTTTATTTATTCTGCAGAAAGTGCTGTGCAACCTGCTCGTGCCTGAAAGATCCACCACTGCACTCCTCACCCAGTAAATGTATAATTGCATCAATTAATTCTCCTTTTTTCTTGGGAGTTTCTAAACTTTGGCACATTAGAAACAGCAATAAGGCAGGAGACAGAATCCAGCTTCTCAGTGCTGCCAACTTTCAAGTCTTTCTTGAAGATACCATTGAAAGACACTCAGGATTTAATGGTTCAACTTTCATGCTTTTATCAATGGATTTGATGCTCTGGAGCATCAAACTGTTTACTATGGGCATAGTTTAAATTCATGTTATTTTTTAGGTGCTGTATGATCTGAATTAATTTTTGATGTCTGGATATGCAAGTGAGTGTATCAAGACCAGAATGAGTTATTCATCATCTCCTGGGGTATACAGAGCTCATTTGACATAAGAGTCTACTCTCAAGTTCATCTGAATCCTTCTATTTAAAAAAATCTTTGGCTATTTTGAACTCCTTCTTGATTTTCATCTATCATGGATGAGTGGTGTAATATCAGCTTTCTAAAGCACGTGGGCATGGACTAATAATGACTTTTTCTTGTACTTGGTGCTCCCACTAGAAAGAACAGGAAGAAATTGCCCACTAGAACCAAAATATGCATTTTGAAAGCATCTGCTGCAGTCCTGTTACTCCACTATTCCATGTGTGTGCATATCCATATGCACAGATATGTATTTAATGGCTTTGCTGCTGCCAAAAAATGTCATTACCTGAAACATTCCCGCTCTCCTGGCTTTTCTCAGTGCAGTGTGTTTGTTGTTTCAGTTTCACACTGAAAATCCTCAGTGCAAGTGGGAAAATAATTTAATCCCTCCTGGAATGTCATGGGCTGGAGCTGTAAACATAAAACCACGAGAATCAGCATCCCTATTAGAATCTGCAATCAGAAATGACCTTCCATTTTCAAAAATTATTTCTTTAGTCTGATTGTTGGAGTATAATCCCTTGTAATTGAATTAATTAATCAATTTTGTTAACAAACCTATTCCTATCAGGGAGATTTGTTCAGTGCAGCAATGAACTATTAGTCATTAATCTTCTTGAGGAAAAGATTCTTCAAATGAATTTGAGAAATCCTCACATAACCACTTCTTTAAACCCAGGAACTTCTTTTGCATATTCTAGAAGAGATTGTTTCCAGATCCAAATGCAAGTATTCTGGCACCACTTTTGCTAAGCTGCTTTCAAAATTGATTTGTTCCAGTTGAGTTTATTTCACAGTCAGCCTCATTTTTGTGTTCTGAATTGTGGTTTGTAGCATGGTATTTGTTTTTGCTTTCCCAAAGACAAGTTGAGTGGGTTTAAACATATCCTAATGTTGTTATTTTTACAGGAGTTGACAGCAAAAGGTCTCATTTATCAGTTAATCAATACCATAAAGTTGATATTCCTTGCAGTGTTGCCTAGGACAGAACGTGAAAGGAACATGAAAGTAAATAAAGGAATCAAAATGAGAATATTCTCTGTCTTTCTGCCAAAAAAAAAAGAAGGTTCCTTTCCACTCATTACATTCTCTTTTATAGAAGCTGTTATAATTCAGGTAAAAGCAGTATCATTTAAACCTTTTGTTCAACATTCCAAACTTTGAATTCTGGAATTCCAGAAAATTCTATAAAACAAAAAGCAAACAAACAAAGGAAAAGGCAAAACTCTGGGTACTGTAAAATAGTGCTCCTTCCCCCCTTTACTTGGCCTTTCTGTAAATCATTTGAACATTGTGAGGATATTTGTTTTTATAGGTTTAGGACAATTTAACTCTTTGGGGAGCCCTTGACAGATTCCTCAGGACAATTTAACTCTTTGGGGAACCCTTGATTGGTTCCTCAGGACGATTAGACTATTTGAGGAACCCTTGATGGGTTCCTCAGGACAATTTAACTCTTTGGGAACCCTTGATGGGTTCCTCAGGACAATTTAAATCTTTGGGGAACCCTTGATGGGTTCCTCAGGACAATTTAACTCTTTGGGAACCCTTGATGGGTTCCTCAGGACGATTTAACTCTTTGGGAACCCTTGTTATGTTTCTCAGGACAATTTAACTATTTAGAAACCCTTGATAGGTTCCTCAGGACAATTTAACTATTTGGGCAAACCTTTAGGTTCCTCCATACAATTGAACTCTTTGGGGAACCCTTGATGGGCTCCTCAGGACAATTTGGGGAGCCCTTGATAGGTTTTTCAGAGCAATTTAACTATTTGGGAAACCCCTGATGGGTTCCTCAAGATAATTTAACTGTTTAGAGAACCCTTTAGGTTTCTCAGGACAATTTAACTATTTGGGGAGCCCTTTGGGTTCCTCAGGACAATTTAAAACTTTGGGGAACGCTTTAGGTTTCTCAGGACAATTTAACTCTTTGGGAAACCCTTGACAGGTTCCTCAAGACAATTTAACTATTTGGGGAGCCCTTGATGGGTTCCTCAGGACAATTTACCTATTTGGGGAACCTTTTAGGTTCCTCAGGACAATTTGGGGAACCCTTTAGGTTTCTCAGGACAATTTAACTCTTTGGGGAACCCTTGACAGATTCCTCAGGACAATTTAACTATTTTGGGAGCCCTTTAGGTTCCTCAGGACAATTTAGCTATTTGGGGAGCCCTTGATAGGTTCCTCAGGACAATTTAACTATTTGGGGAGCCCTTGATAGGTTTTTCAGGGCAATTTGGGGAACCCTTTAGGTTTCTCAGGACAATTTAACTCTTTGGGAAACCCTTGACAGGTTCCTCAAGACAATTTAACTATTTGGGGAACCCTTGATGGGCTCCTCAGGACAATTTGGGGAACCCTTTAGGTTCCTCAGGACAATTTAACTCTTTGGGGAACCCTTGATGGGTTCCTCAGGACAATTTACCTATTTGGGGAACCTTTTAGGTTTTTCAGGGCAATTTGGGGAACCCTTGATGGGTTCCTCAGGACAATTTAGCTATTTGGGGAGCCCTTGATGGGTTCCTCAGGACAATTTAACTATTTTGGGAGCCCTTTAGGTTTCTCAGGACAATTTAATTCTTTGGGGAGCCTTTGACAGGTTCCTCAGGACAATTTAACTATTTGGGGAGCCCTTGATGGGTTCCTCAGGACAATTTAACTATTTGGGCAAACCTTTAGGTTCCTCCATACAATTGAACTCTTTGGGGAACCCTTGATGGGCTCCTCAGGACAATTTGGGGAGCCCTTGATAGGTTTTTCAGGACAATTTAACTATTTGGGAAACCCCTGATGGGTTCCTCAAGATAATTTAACTGTTTAGGGAACCCTTTAGGTTTCTCAGGACAATTTAACTATTTGGGGAGCCCTTGATAGGTTTTTCAGGGCAATTTAACTATTTGGGAAACCCTTGATTGGTTTTTCAGGACAATTTAAATCTTTGGGGAGCCCTTGATAGGTTTTTCAGGACAATTTGGGGAACGCTTTAGGTTTCTCAGGACAATTTAACTCTTTGGGAAACCCTTGACAGGTTCCTCAAGACAATTTACCTATTTGGGGAACCTTTTAGGTTCCTCAGGACAATTTGGGGAACCCTTGATGGGTTCCTCAGGACAATTTAACTCTTTGGGGAACCCTTGATGGGCTCCTCAGGGCAATTTGGGGAACCCTTGATGGGTTTCTCAGGACAATTTAACTCTTTGGGAAACCCTTGACAGGTTCCTCAAGACAATTTACCTATTTGGGGAACCTTTTAGGTTCCTCAGGACAATTTGGGGAACCCTTGATGGGTTCCTCAGGACAATTTAACTCTTTGGGGAACCCTTGATGGGCTCCTCAGGGCAATTTGGGGAACCCTTGATGGGTTTCTCAGGACAATTTAACTCTTTGGGAAACCCTTGATGGGTTCCTCAGGACAATTTACCTATTTGGGGAACCTTTTAGGTTCCTCAGGACAATTTGGGGAACCCTTGATGGGTTTCTCAGGACAATTTAACTATTTGGGGAACCCTTGATGGGCTCCTCAGGACAATTTGGGGAACTCTTTAGGTTTCTCAGGACAATTTAATTCTTTGGGGAACCTTTTAGGTTCCTCAGGACAATTTAGCTATTTGGGGAGCCCTTGATGGGTTCCTCAGGATAATTAAACTGTTTGGGAACCCTTGATGTGTTCCTCAGAGATGTCTGAGGGGTTGCTGCTGAGTTCTCTGGGGGTTCCTCAGGAGTCCGGCGCTCTCGGGGAGGACATTTGGGAGTAACAGGAATTTCCCTTTGTTTCAGCCCTTCGTTATTTATGACATGAACTCTTTGATGATGGGGGAAGACCAGATCAAGTGCAAGCACGTGTCCCCCCTGCAGGAGGAGAACAAGGAGGTGGCCATCCGCATCTTCCAGCGCTGCCAGTTCCGCTCCGTGGAGGCCGTGCAGGAGATCACCGAGTTCGCCAAGAACATCCCGGGCTTTGTCAACCTCGACCTCAACGACCAAGTGACTCTGCTCAAATATGGGGTCCACGAGATCATCTACACCCTGCTGGCCTCCCTGATGAATAAAGATGGGGTTCTCATATCCGATGGACAAGGGTTCATGACGCGGGAGTTCCTGAAGAGCCTGAGGAAACCTTTTTGTGACTTTATGGAGCCCAAGTTTGAGTTTGCTGTGAAGTTCAATGCACTGGAATTAGATGACAGTGACCTGGCAATATTTATAGCTGTCATTATCTTAAGTGGAGGTAAGTGCTCTCTTATTTATGTGGGATTTTAGAGGTTTTATATGGGATTTTATGGGATTGACACCTTTAACTCCTGCCCAAACAGCAAAGTGCTCAGCACTTCAGGCTGGGAGTGAGTGCATTTACACAGAGCTTTTTTTGTTGTTCACCTTTCATTCAGTTCCAGACAGAAACTGAAAATGGAAATGCCCTGATATTAGTGATGGACCTGGAAATGCCTGCTGAGTCATCAGTTCATTTAGGCACAAAACAAAATCAGGGCTATCTTTTGGAAAACAGGAAGGGTGGAATTTCACTGCCAGGAGCTAAAATTCTGCAGGAGATTTTTTGGTTTTTAAACTCTTAATTAGATTGTGTGGCTTGTTAATTGACCACAAACAGCTTTGACTCCAGAACAATTCCAAAGCATAGGTGGTATTGGGCTTACAGGGTTATGGTGCTTTTCATTGTTCTTCCATTTGTGCAAGGTTTTGTTTGCCTTTAAAAGGAGGGAGAAATGCATTTTTCAGGAGAATTATGGTCACCTAAAAAAAAAACAACCCAGGCATTGTGTGCTTGTTCAGCTTTCCTCAGCTGTATCTTCATACATCACACTTTGAGCAAAGCATGAACCTGAAATCCCAGGTATCAAAGTGCCCACATTCAACTGAAAAATCACTGAATTTCAGCTTTTCTGCAGCCATCCAGTGGGTTCTGTGCTCCTGAGGTGATGTCACTGCTCTGGTTTGGGAATTAGTGCTGCCTACCAGGATTTATTTCCCTTAGACACCTTCAGATTTATTCCAGACACATCGAAGCTCTGTTCCTTTGGCCAACACTCCCAAGGCAGTGATGTTGCACAAATAAAATCTTGCCCTACTGATTTGTGTGTATTTTGGCCCAAGGTGGAGCTGCACACATCCATGGCAGGAATGTGCTGAACGCTCTGGATTCGGCTCCTCCACAGAGCAGCCGAGGATTTCGTTATTAAATTACATTTCAGCAATCAGACACAACCTCGTGCTATTGTTCTAAAAGCAGCAGCCCTGCTGCTGGGAGGGCACTCTGAGGTACATCTGCATTTAAACTCACCTCCAGCTCCTCCTGGCACTGGGGTTCATTCAGGAAAAAGAAGGGGTCACAGCAGAATTTGTCCCGCTGATTCCGCTCCCAACAAGAATTCCTCCCAGAAATTTCCTTGTGCAAACCTTGGGCACTGTGATCCCCCAGGGCTCTGCATTCATTCAGGAAGGAAAACACCTTGCTGGGGTATTTTTGGTTGGTTTTGATGGGAGAGGAGAAATGATGCAAGGCCTCTCAGGGCACTGCTCAGAACGTGCCAACATTTTGTGGGTTTGGTATAATGAAATGTGACAGATGAGCAAAGGCCTCTCAAAATTCACTCCTCACTGCAAAAAGGGAACTTGTGTTCAGCAGAGCCCTGTCCTCAGCAGGGTTTGGTTTCCACCAGAGGAAATAGGAATGATGTAACCAGTCTCAGGTTTTAGATTGCAGGAGGACAGTGATTCACATACAAGAATGAACTGGGTTGAACCAGATTTATCAGCATGTCTCTTTTTTTTTCCAGGATAATTTGTAAACAGAGACTTGTAAAGAACTCATGAATTTGAATCAAGTAACAGTAGCAAAACTCTGAAACAAATGTGTAGAGACATCAATCCATTTAAATATAAATCAGTCCTTTCTAGGAAGATCCTTTAATTCCAACAAAGACCTCCCTATCTTTTTGCAGAACTTTTTTTTTTCCAAAAAACGTGACAACTGCTTGAAAAAGAAAAAGTTTATGTTTTGAAGATAATGAAGCTTTGTATGATATCTATTGAACTGGGTGTTAAAATGTCTTATGTGATATAAAACTGGGTCCTGTTTCTCAGCTGTCTCAGATGTTTCTGTAAGAGCTACACCCTTGCAAAATTGTATTTGTGTAAGAACTATTTGAATACAGCAGGGTGATTTCACTGAGAACAGGATTTCAAAAGCAGAGCACCTCGAGGACTTGACTTGCTGCAGGAACCCTGCAATGCTTAAATCCCCTCACGAAATCCTGTGTACAAACATCTCTAACACAAAACCACTTTGTGAAACCCAGAAAGATCCCAGCCAGGGGCTCTGAATGTCAGTGAATCTGTGATTACCTGGTGAAATTGTGCTAATTCTGCTGGCTCCAGGGGGACTGGCTCTTGTGCAGCTCTAACAGAAGGGGAGAAAGGAAAGGGAAAGATAATTCCAGCTGGAACATCACACATGGAAAGCTTTTCCTTGGGAAGTGTTTGGAGTTTGCCACAAATCCTATAAAACTCTTTAGCCTTTTGATAACCAAACAGCTGCTTGTGCATGTTATCTCAAAAGGCAAAAAGCCCAAATCACAGCAATAAGGAGCTGACAAATTAACTGCAATAGCAACAGATGGGAAATACTCCCACAGTGGATTTGACTGTTCCTGAGCCGCTCAGTGCAGCCTCTGTGTGTCTCAACTACTCCAAATGTTTCTCTGAACTCATTTCTGCAGAGCTGCTCTTGCTGTTGGTGCTGTAAAACAAAGTCAATGCAAGCAAAGTCCTGTATTCTGAATTTAACAAAGTCCTGTATTCCGAATTTAACAAAGTCCTGTATTCCGAATTTAACAAAGTCTTGTATCCTGAATTTAACAAAGTCCTGTATTCTGAATTAACAAAGTCCTGTATTCCGAATTTAACAAAGTCTTGTATCCTGAATTTAACAAACTCCTGTATTCTGAATTTAACAAAGTCTTGTATTCTGAATTTAACAAACTCCTGTATTCTGAATTTAACAAAGTCCTGTACTCCGAATTTAACCAAGTCTTGTATTCTGAATTTAATGCTGGTCAGACAGACTGTGTGTGAGCATGGGATTTCACCTGGTCTGTACAACAGAAATGCTTTTGGCCATCAGCAGCAGCACCAAACCCTCCTTACAGCATCCTTCCAGCTGTAGTGACTTTAAAAGACACACTTTGGTTAAATGAGATTTGGAAAGATTCTTTTGGAAGATTTTCTTCTTCTCACCCTCAGTCAGTAGTGAGTGCTCTGCTATACATGGAAATGAACTGAAGCATCTTTAAAAAATCACATCTTTAAAAAATCACATCTTTAAAAAATCACAAATCCATCCAAGCAGAAAATGAACTCTGCCACAAGAAGGTTTAGGGAGAACGAGCTGGATGGCTCCGTTTGGGCAGGAAAGATAATACTGCAAACCTTATTGGAATAATTCACATTTGTGAGCTGGGCAAACTCACTCAAGCAGGCTGTTGTCAAACAAAGAAAAAGCTCAAAAGGGAATTTTGCAGCGTGGATGGACTCGAATTTTTGTGTATTATCTTCTGCAGTGTTTGGATAGAGGAGGAATGTTTGGATACAGGAATTTTGGGATGTAGGAATGTTTGGATACAGGAATTTTAGGATACAGGAATGCTTGGATATAGCAGTGTTTGGGTACAGGAATGTTGGGATGCAGGACTATTTGGATCCAGCAGTGTTTGGAGCAGCAGGAATATTTGGATCCAGCAGTGTTTGGAGCAGAGTATCCCTGTAAACACCCACACCCTGCCAGTCCATGTGCAGTCAAACTGCTTTTTAAACCCAGAGATGTTTCTAAAGTCACTTTTTCTGTTTTCTGTGTGGTTTTTACCTTAAATTTTAAGCCACAAGTCCATGCTCCTGGTGCACTGTATTCAATGATTTTGCTGCATTCTCAGCTCAGCAAAATTTGAAGTTTTATCCCTGGCTATTACCAAGCAGTAGTTCCTATTTCAGTGCCACACAAATCCTGCACTCTGGTTCAATGCCTGCAGGGACGATCTGCAGTTCTTGCTCTGATTACAAAGCATTTCTTTGTTCTGACAAACTCCTGGTGACTCCAGCACATGTGACAGTCTCAGAAGACAAACCTCAAAGTGCTGAGTCACATCTGCCTCAGCAAAAGAAAAGAGGAGCACATGTGTTCACCCAGCCAGATCTTTGCCTGTTTGTTCACTGAGATTTTAAAATGGGCATTTAAAAGCAAAATGCATTTATTCAAAGATAATAAAATGTAAAGACATGCAGGTGGCCATGTCATATGTGAGGACCACGTAGAAAAGATTGTAATTATTGCTAGGGACATGAATGAAGCATCCAAATAAACAAAGAAATATTTTCCCCTGAGACAGTGTAGAATATCAACTTACACAAAGTAGTACTGCTTGCTCTCAGAACTTTGGGGGTATTGGCCTTTCCCAGTCACTGTGAACATTTTTTAAAGCAGTTTTCAAACCAATTGAAGCAGCTGTATGACAATGAATGAAAACATAAAGAAAATGTGAGTAAAGAAATATAATAAATAGCAGGGAACTGTGGTGCTCTTTTTCCTGCAAGGCACATCCCTCTGCAGCTCCTCACTACACAAAATTCACCTTTTGCTACAAAACCAAATTGCTCTGGAGCAGATCTATATTTAAGAGCATTTTAACAGCTTGAAATATACCATAATAGCTGGATGTTTAAGCTTTGGCCTCCTATTTCCTATTTTTCCTGATTTAGATAAGTTTCTTGGAACAGAAGCAGCATTTCCCCCTGTAAGAGGTTTTTACTGAGAAAGTAAAGCAAACTGTCAACACCCAAAAAACACTGCCTATATCCTGAAGTTCTCATTCATGAAAAATCTCTCTTGCCTTCAATGGGAATTTTCCTTCCTCTTGAATTGGCTTATACAAAAATAACATCTGATGATCTCCTAGGCTTTTGTCAGAGTCATCTTTTCTGCCTCTGGTCCCACTGGGTCATTAAAAAATCATCAGATTGGGGCTTTTCATGGGGTTTTTCAGGATTTTAGCCACTGCAGTCCCAGGCACCCAAACTCAGGGGGCTCCTGCTAAATCCCAGACCCAGTGGAGTTTCCTCCTGGACTCTGAAGCCCAACATTTGAATGGGGATTGGCTCCTGAAAAGCTCACACCCCAAAGCTTCCCACCCCAAAGGAGCAGGGGGCAGAGGGAGCTGGGTCTCGGGGGAAGCCGAGGCCGCGTCTTTGTGCTCTCTGATTTCTTGTGTCCCTGCACACTGAGTCAGGCCCAGCTGGCTCAGAGCTCAGCTGCAGCACACAAGGGGAATTTAAAGCTATCACAGCCCCAAATGTTACCAGCTTTGAAAGGCTGAAATTCAGCAATTCTCAGAAAGATGGCAACTCGATTCTGCAGCCCATGCAATGCATTCAGGTAATCGAAAAATAAATATCTAATAATTATCAAAAATTCTTTAGGTATTCTTAAAAGGAACCTTTTTTCTATTTACTCCAGACTTTCTGAACCAGATTTTATGGGGTTATCAGTTGGATGGGATAAATATATGATGTCTGCAAGACGAGCACACTGACAAACAAATATCCAGGTTCACACTCAAAATTATTTTTATTCCTATCTTTGAAAAACTCTGCCTAAACCTCAACTCCTGGAGAGCTGAGTATCCTTTCCTGATAAGTGACCTTGGTTTTCATGGCTCCCTCATTGGTTTTCCTGCCAGCTTTGCCTTTTAGTTTACACTGCAGTTTTCCCCATGAGGTAAAGCTGTGTATTTATAAAGAGCTTTGTTTTCTCCCAGCCTTTCTGCCAGCACGACTCGAGCTGAGCTAGGAGAACTCTCTGCTCAGAAAGGTTACCAAGATCACAGGAAATAACAGCTCCTTTTTTATGGTTTTAATGGAGATCAGCCTCTCCTCCTTGCTGAAATGGAATTATTGCCTCAGGGAAGTGATTTAAGGCTTGCAGTAGGCACTACTTTTTATTGATCAAACTGTGAAAATCATTTCAAGCTACACAGCAAATTTTATTTAAATTATTGACTCTTTTCATGATTTATTATGATATTTGGGATGTGTTACCCAGTATTAAGTACTTTAGCAGTAACAAGTTCATTGTCATATGTGAGAATTTAACAAAGTTAAGCATCTTGCATTGCTTAGACATTCAACATTTCATTAACTTTCAGTGCTGGAGAATCAAATAATCTGCAGAAGTTGAGTTTATGCCTTTTTTTTTTCCTTTTTTTTTTCTTTTTTTCCTCTTTTTTTGTTTTTTTGGTTTTTTGTTTTTAAATTTTGATGGGTACACATCCACTTTAGCAGGAAACATTTTTAGTGACAGCAGCTACATGCAAACCCATCAGTACATATTAATTTTCCAGAAGTGAATTACCTGATACAGATTGTTTATCCCCAAACAATCTCACTCTTTTTTTCCCACACACACTCCCAGTTTATTGTGGAAAATCCACTAATTTAATCCACTGCAGTAGATTAAACCTAGAGAAGTGTCAGTGGATAAACCTAGTTCTGGAGTATAAAACTAATTCTAAAACCCCTCTGAGCAAATCCCAGTGAAATCTTACAAACTACCCAATGGTCAGACAGCTCTCAGGAAATGCCATCTGTAAAGGCTTCATTTGCTAAGAAATGTGTAAGAAATTAATGCATGGCACTGATGCTGTGATGCTGATAAACTCCCAACCCTTTTTTTCCCCAGACCACCTTGGGGAAATGTTTCCAATTCTAAAATTGGAATCTAAATCGAAATCCTAAAACTCCTTTGAGCAGATCCCAGGGAAAGTACCCTTTGTAAGCAGATCCTTTACAAAGTACCTTTGTAAGCTAAGAATCACATAAGAAATTAATGCAGAAAATCAATGTTTGGTGCTGATAAACTCCCAACCCTTTTTCCCCCCAGACCACCTAGGGGGAATATTTCCAATTCTAAAATTGGAATCTAAATCTAAATCCTAAAGCAGATCCCAGGGAAAGTACCCTATGTAAGCAGATCCTTTACAAAGTACCTTTGTAAGCTAAGAATCACATGAGAAATTAATGCAGAAAATCAATGGTTTGGTGCTGATAAACTCCCAACCCTTTTTTTCCCCACACCACCTAGGGGGAATATTTCCAATTCTAAATTAGAATCTAAATCGAAATCGAAATCCTAAAACTCCTTTGAGCAGATCCCAGTGAAACCTTACAAAGTGCCTGATGGCCAGACAGCTCCCAGGCAATGCCATCTGAATTTGCTAAGAATCACATAAGAAATTAACCCAGAAAATCGATGTTATGGTGCTGATAAACTCCCAACCCTTTTTTTCCCAAACCACCTAGGGAAAATGCTTCCAAGACTAATCCTAAAACTCCTTTGAGCAGATCCCAGGGAAACCTTACAAAGGACCTGATGCCAGACGGCTCCCAGGCAATGCCATCTGAATTTGCTGATGAACACATAAGAAATAAATGCAGAAAATCGATGTTATGGTGCTGATAAACTCCCAATCTTTTTTTCCCCCAGACCGCCCGGGGTTGCTAAACGTGAAGCCCATTGAAGACATTCAGGACAACCTTTTGCAAGCCCTGGAGCTGCAGCTGAAGCTGAACCACCCCGAGTCCTCTCAGCTGTTTGCAAAGCTGCTGCAGAAAATGACGGACCTGAGGCAGATCGTCACGGAGCACGTGCAGCTCCTGCAGGTCATCAAGAAAACCGAGACGGACATGAGCCTCCATCCTCTGCTCCAGGAGATCTACAAGGACCTGTATTAATGAGCAGAGCAGCTGTTAATCCCCTGACATGATGTATGTTCTTCAGATTGCACTATTTCTATGAGGGAAAAACTTGGCGTGCCTAAGAGATTACTGTGAAACAGCATTTAAAAAGAGAGAGCTTAGTATAGTAGATCTATTTTATGCATATTGTTTATAAAGACACATTTACAATTTACTTTTAATATTAAAAGTATCTATATCATGAAATTGTTGGCAGTATTTTCAGAATTAATTTTTTTAACTACGTTATTTCTTACAATCGCTTGTCCGAGTATGATCGGTGCTTCACTCAAGCATGCACTTAAATTTTCAACTCAATAAAAACCTTTCTCCTCGAGCATTCCCAGGGAAATGTTTGAAGCATTAACGTTCTGGTTTGTGCTCCTGAGGCAGCAGCACAGTAAAATTCAGTCCCAGGTTGGTGCAACCTCCCAGGAGAGCCTGCAATGCCAAAGGGAGAAGTGTCAGGTGTGAAAATGTTCGTGCCTTCCATAACAAGGCTGGACCCTGGCAGAGCTCTGCAAAGGGCTGTAAGGAGAGATCCCCCCACTCCTTTGGGGGCAAACTGAGGAATCAGCTGCCATTCCAAGAGCTCATTAAGGGAGGAATATGCACTGCTCAGCACTCCTAGGAAACACAGACCTTTTGATTCCTCTGCTTGGGCAAGTGTGAGGCAGGTGGAGCAGCAGCTACTCCAATTCCCACCCCACAGCAGCCGGGGCTGAGCTGGAATGGGTTGGTACAAACCTCTTGGCCCAAGACCTTCCCCAGTTATTTGATAAACTGCCATTGAACAGCAGTCAAAATATCATGGAAAATTGCAATGCTGTGACAAATTAACTCCTAAGCAAAAGCAAGGTTTAGATTAATTCTTGTGTAAAGATAGATCTGTGATGGAGACTCTGCACCCTGAGTTCAATCGAGCTCTAGGTGCTCATCCAGGGGTGCTGGGAGATGTTCCTGCTGTTGAGGTTGTTGGTTTTCTTGCATGTGTTCCTCTATAATGTCACCTCAGGGTTCCACAGGGAGCAGAGCACAGCAGAGTGAACAAATTTAACAGAAGGTAAATTTCCTAACAATGTCATTTGGGGGCATTCTTGGTGCTGAGGTGAGAGATTCACATTTCACCTGCCCACCTTTGATAGTTTGTGAATGTGACCCCTGATTACATCAAGGAGGGGGCACCCACAGTGGTGGACCAGGAGAGGGAATACTGGGGGGAAAAGCCACTTTTGTAATTTATATATCAAAATAAGGAGAGGTCCCCAATACCCTTGGTTTCCTCCCCGTGTCTATATTTTATTTATGTAGCAAAAAATGTGCCTTAAACTGAGTCAAGGGGAGTGGTGATTCCCAAGTGGACAAAGAGGTGATGTAGGTGTGAGCAGGATCTCCAGGGAGTAGAAATTGGCTTTGCTCCTAATGCAGACCTTGAAACTCTTAAGCCAATGCAAATTATGCAATAAAGGAGCTGAGAGAGGTAAATATTAAAATTAATCCTTCAGCTCACGCCTGCTGCACCTGGAAAGGTTTCCTGCTGCAGATTTCAGGGAACCTCTGGGCCTGAGGTCAGCACTGAGCGCTGTTCCCACCAGGAAATGTGGGGAATTGGCTCATTCAGCTCCAGGTGTGGAGCCCAGGGGTGGAATTGCACTGAGATGAAGTCACTGCCAGGCTGCAGGGAGCAGCTCTGATCCTGCCAGGCTTGCAGTGAGGTCACCTCAGGTGGCTCAGGAAGGATGGCCCTGGAGCATGCAGAGCACTGCAGCTCATTGCAGCTCATGCAGCTCATGCAGTTCATGCAGTTCATTGCAGTTCATGCAGCTCATGCAGCTCATGCAGCTCATTCTGTTCATTGCAGCTCATGCAGCTCATGCAGTTCATTGCAGCTCATGTGTTCATGCAGCTCATTGCAGTTCATGCAGCTCATGCAGCTCATTGCAGTTCATTGCAGCTCATTGCAGTTCATGCAGCTCATGCAGCTCATTGCAGTTCATTGCAGCTCATTGCAGTTCATGCAGCTCATGCTGTTCATTGCAGCTCATTGCAGTTCATGCAGCTCACGCAGCTCATGCAGTTCATTGCAGCTCATTGCAGCTCATTGCAGTTCATTGCAGCTCATTGCAATTAATTGCAGCTCATGCAGCTCATGCAGTTCATTGCAGTTCATTGCAGCTCATGCAGCTCATGCAGCTCATGCAGCTCATGCAGCTCATGCAGCTCATTGCAGCTCATTGCAACTCATTGCAGTTCATGCAGCTCATGCAGCTCATGCTCAGCCCTGCAGCCTTGCTGCACATCTCAGGTGGTTCCAGCTGAGCGTGGCCCTGCAGGAATTGCATCCACGCTTCCATGGTGGTTGCAGTGCACAGGGAATGTTCTCTTTCTGGAATGTTCTCCCTCTGGAATGTTCTCCCTCTGGAATGTTCTCTCTCTGGCTGAAGTCGTCTGTTCCCCGCTGTTCATTTGAAGTGTGGCCTTCCCTCCCTCGGTGGGAGAATTCCCAGAGCTGCCCCTCAGAGAGGGGCTGGCACTGGGATGGAGCCCAGCTCCAGCTCTGAATTTCTGTCACAGCAGCACCCAGCAAGAGCCATGACTCTGAGCCTGCATGTCTTAAACAACCCCATTTCCCACTGGCTTCCCTTGAAATGGAAGTCCAGAAGTAGCTTCAAACAAAAAGGAATTTTAGGGCATGTCCTTACAGAAGTAATATTCAAAATGATTGGAAAATCAGTGGCAGAGACGCTCTGGCAGGGAAATTGAGTTCAGTACTTTGTTAAAGCACTGAAAAAAATCTGTGTAACCCAGCAGCACATCAACCAAAGAGCTTCATCCCACTCCTGCAGGGGGTGATATTTCTGAAACTGTCCATTCAGCAGTGACTGTGCCTAAGCCACTCAGTCCAAAAATCCCCACATTCTGAGAGTGGTGATGGAGTCAGAATCACAAGAGTTTTGCAGGAATGGGCGTTATCCTTTATGAGGATGAAGGCACTGAGTGCCCAAAAGCCTCAACTTTTCTTTCAACTGTATCAGCTGCTCTAATAAAATCTGTTGTTCTCCCCACACCCTGTCTGCTCTCACATATTGATATTATTCCCCATGTTTTCCTCAAGCCATGCAAAGTGTTAATATTTTCTGTGAGTTACTAATCACTGACATGTTCTGATTCTGAGTGGTTACATCATGGTTAAGAAGTTTTTGCCTGAAATACTTTTCTACAAGAATAGGTCTTAAGGGAAAAATGTTCATTTAATGGACAATTGCTATGTACTAATTTAGAACAAATGACTGTTATGAGGATATGAAAACATCTTCTCAAAAAATAGCATTTTCTCTTGTGAATTATATTCAGAATTTTGATCTAATTGTAAATACTTTCTGTTTCTATGGGACTTTATTTATTAAAAACACAAACTTGCTAATGGGAGTTCAGCAGTAGGTTGTAATACTTTCAGACTCTCTGGAGTTTTGGGTAGAATGGGCTACACCATAAATGAACAATTTGGTTTTTGATCTTCAGTGCTACTAAAAACATTTAACAACTCAAAAATAGAAGCAGTCAGCTGGTACAGGCTGCCTTTGAAGAGCTTCATTTTGCTGGTGTTGTGCTGTCCCTCAGTCCTCTGTGCTCAGGGATGGTGTGGGACCATTCCCACAGGCTGGGAGACTGCTGGGCTGTCATTCTGCCTTGTAGTTCACCCTGATCTGCTTTTTCTGTGGGAAACCTGCAGGTAAATGGAGCCCAGGGAAAGTCCTTGGGTGTCCCTGTCACATCCAGCCCCTTCCCCTGGCCCTGTCAGGCAGCAGAACATTCCCTGCAGGAGCTCAAAGGTCCCTGTTCAACAGGCAAAGTTTCCTTCTTCAGGCAACATTGGTGACCATTTCTCCAGCAAATGTTGCTGTGAGGGCCTGGAATGGAAATTGAGAGGACAAAAATCATTTCCAGCATCCCCATTGCTGCAGCCCAGACCACTTCAGTCACAGTTTCCATAAAAGCATAGAAAACCCCTCTGTGCCCCTGGTGCAGCTGTCTCACCTCCCTTTGGTCCTCCCTGGCAGAACCTTCTCCCAGCACTCCAAAACATGGGAAAATAGGAAATGGGAAATGGAAAAATGGGAAATGGGCTTGCCCAGAGCTGCTGAGCCCCTTCCCTCAGCTAACACAGCTCAGGTCCAGCCACTGTGGGCACAGACAAGCCCTGAGGGATCAGCATTTAGTGTTTGATTTGCAGCTGCAAACTCTGTCTTGATGTTGAATGCATTTCAATGGAACTTTTTTCCTTTTAAATAAGAGGTGATATCCCTTAAATGAATATAACACCAACTTTGCAAACACAAGCAATACAAAGCTGCAGCTAGAAATTTCTAGAAGAAGGAAAATCTGAGGGGGAACAAGCCCAGCAAACCCCCCCTGGCTCAGCAGCTCAGTCCCACCCCTGTCAGACAGCTCAGGTTCTCATTCAAGCACTGGATAAATCATGGGTCTCGTCATAAATCCCATTCCAAGTGGCTGGTCTGAAAACCAGGGGTTAAAAATCAGCTGCACAGGGCTGTATCCAACCCCATGGACACCAGGAATGTGGCTCCACTCTTCTCTGCCCTGGAAATGGTGGCTGCAGGAAAAACAATTCCTGAACTTCTGGATTTTCCTTTGGACACAGGGGATGCAGAGGAAATTAGGCAGCACATCTTCAGTGGCCTGAGGTAAACACTCAGCAGGCAAAGACTGACCCAGCAAAGGAAGAAAGGAGGAAATGATTCCACAGCTTTGGATGCAGTGGAGTGGGGTGAGATGTGTGTGTGTGCAGGATTTTGCCTTTATTTTTTCCTAGGAGCCAAATGCCCCATGGACTTGGTGTCTGCAAGAAGTTTCAGTGCACCAAAGGCAGTAAACAGCACCTCTAAATTTACATGCTCCCAAAACAGGAAAGCTTTGCTCAATGCACAGGCTCTTTCTCTGCATCTCTTTATTGCTTAATGTGGTGAATATTGAAG